AATTAATTAAAGACAGATAAAATTTGCAATCATCATTAGGGGCCACCGACTGGGATCAGTTGACCCTCTCTGCAAATCACGGGATTTCTCCCGGTTCACAAAGAGGAAAGAATTTTATCATAAATGCAAAATGTCAAAATACATATTTTTAAAATGTCAAATGCATAAATTCAAAAGTTCAAACTGCATAGTTCAAGTTCAAACTAAACTGAAAATCCAATTCCACTTTCTATCAAAAGCCAAAGGTACAAACTTACTGTCAAAAATATCAAGAAATCTACCCAAGCTGTCAAAAGAAGATTTGGCAAAGATATGGAAAATAAAAGTCTATTCAAAAGCTGTCAAAGAAAGATAAAGATGCAGAGGAAATCCTATATGCAAGCAAGTTCTTTTTTTTTCATCATTTCCCATCAGTGGCCCCTTCAGAAAGTACAGTAAAAAAAATTTTAAAATTCTTTAAACTGTACTAAGAAAGAAAGAAGAAGAGAGATAAGAGGCAAGGGTTCAGGCTTTATGCAGAGGCAGGATAGAGAGGGAGAAAAATATACAAAACTCAAAAAACCTGATAAGCAAAAGGAGAAGAGATATACACAGCATAACTTGCCAAGGCCCCAATACATCAACCATATACTGAAGCTTAACCAGAACCACTGCAAACACATAACCTCAAAAAAGCCTAACACTACCAATACAAACTGGCCTGAACCATACAAAAGACCCACCATACTGTCAAGCAACCATTAACCTGCAAAAGCTCATGAACCAGAAACAAAGTCCTAAGCATAACACCTACTGCACTACCATCACTAACCTGTCAATAACTCAAAAGACAAGAAAGAAATGAAAACCTGCTGAACCTGTCACAAAGCCAGCAAAAACCTCATAACCTGAAACAAGGCAAGCATGGCCTGCTACCAAGTTCAAACCTGAAGCCTCCAACACAAAAACATAGAGAAAAACATACAAACCCAAAAACCTGTGATAATCATAACCTGTCAAAGCTTAAGCATCAAACAGATTGAACCAAAAACACATAGCCTGTACAAAAACCATACCAGCATACCAACCCCTGTCCAAACCTGAAACTTGCTGAAACAAATCCAGCAATAACCAACATAATCCCTCAAGCATATCCAAACAGAATCCCTCAAGCATATCCAAGCATATCCAAGCATATCCAAGCATTCAAGGCAATTCAAAGGCCTCAGAAGAGAACTTCATCATAGGCAAGGCAACAATCCAAAGCAATAAACATTCGAGGCAACGTAAGCAAGAGTTCTAGGCAACAAGTATACAGTGGCGAAAGAGAAGAAGAAAGAGATGAAGGTCCAAACTAGGTTTTCAGTTAAGATCATCACGAAACCATAGGCAAAAAAATGGCAACAAGATAAAAGATACCGGGAGTTCAAAGCGCGAACGTCTGTAATTCTCGCCGTCCCGGCCTCCTGAGCGCCACATCCTTTTTTCTCTCCTCCTTCTCCAAGGTCAGGTAGTAAGCTCTTCTCCCTCTTTCTTCTCCACCACCTCCATAGTAATACAGATTTAAGAATCAAAATTCAAATTAAAACAACGCATGCAATTCGTAAAAGAGATAGGAACATAAACATCAAAACGAACCTTGTTTCATAAGGCCACTGAGCTCGGGCCATAGAGGGAAGAGAGATTTGGGGATTGGCGCTGGTGGCTAGACGGCGGAATCACTCAAAATCAGAAGAAGAACGATGAACCTCCATAAACGCGCCGCTCACAAACCCTAAGCGTATATCCCAAATGAAAACGCCAGATGCAAACCCTAAAATTCATTTCAAACGAATGGGCCTCGTCCCAATGCCCTGTCTAAAGCCCATTCCTGATTTGCTTTGGTTTTAATTGCAAAATTGTTCAAAAACAAAAACAAAACATTCACTTTCCTTTTTACTTTTAAATTAACAAAACTTTCTTTTTTCTTTATTTCTTATAATACATTTTTTATACAATACAATAAAAATGTAAAAAACTTTTTTTTCTTTTAAGAAAAATTCTTTGTACATAAATTTTAAAACATTAATTTTGTATATACACATAAGATACATTTTATTTTTATTATACAATATCATTAAATTTGAAAATATCTTTTTTTCAATTAAAATATACTTTGTACACAATTGATAAAATACATTTTTTAACATTAAACTCTTAAACACTTAATTAAAACATTTTTGTATATAAATAAATAAAAATACATTTCTTAATTAAAACTTAAACATTTTCTTTTGTACATATTAAAAGAAATACAAGATCAATAATTAAATAAACGCTTAATTATTCCTTAGGTTAAGTAAATACCCTAAATACACTTCAATTTCACATTTCGCATTTGTAAAATAATCACAATGCATATACATCTCACACTTACACTTACACAATACATTCACATTGCCCTATACACATTTGTTTATCTTATATTTGTATATTCGATATTTTCATTTGATCGCAAATTCGATTTGGTTGTAACTTATTGGATACTATAAGTCTCATCCCCATTCATACACATGTACCCCCACTCCCGGATACTATTTTGTAATAGCGTAGATTTTACATTTCCGCAATTTACAGTTTTCCAATTATACCATGGTTAGACCTAGGGTTTGCATGTACATAAAATCAAACGCTAGATAACCTAATACAAGACAAATACATGTAATCAATACACAATCACACTTGCACCCTCTAGGGTAATTCCACATGTTGCCTTCCAAAATGGACCATGCTTGCACGTCGAGTATCTTTGGCAAAACAAAATCAAATGATCATAAGTCTCAAAGTGTTGCCTAAACGGAATGATCATAGTCCCTTCAAAGCAAATTGCCAAAGACACTTGGCACCATTGCATTCATGGTCCATACGATGACCCGCGCCCGTCCCGAATAAACTTCCTAAACGCAAGATTGTCCACCAATTTCAATGGTAGAACAAAATTGTTAAAAGGGGTTAAAACATGATAAAAACCTTTGAGTACAATAGGGGAGACAAAACTCTTAGTTACTTGAGATCAATTTGCAAAAACACTTGCCTTCTTTTCAAAAACCACAATCCACAACACTTTCAAACAAACTCTCAAAAACATTTGAAACATCTTTTCGAAAAGATCCACACTTTTGTAAAACACTCAAACACGAGTCAAATACATTGGTCGCCTAAGACAAGGCATCTCTTCAAAAAACATTTTCAAAAGCACCCACACACACACCATTTTCAAGCAATCGAAAAACAAGGCAAGTGATCTAAAAAACCAAGTAACTAAGAGCCCATGGATAACCATGGATGAAAAGGGTGCTAATACCTTCCCTTTTCATAATCTACCCCCCGAACCCACGAAATATCTCAAAAGGTTTTTGCTGTGCTTTTTTAACCTTTCCTTTAGGATAAAATAAAAAGTCGGTGGCGACTCTTGCTCAACCGCACAAGTGCGAATACGAACGCAAAACACTAGTCAGTTCTCCCACCGTATCACACAACTCAACACACAATTCAAAACAAAAACAATCTCGAAAAATTCCTACCTGTCGATAGATTAATCAATGTTATTTGACAAATTGATATATCAAAATTAAAGCAATAAAAGAAAAAAGACACAAGAATTTGTCTACACAGTTCTCCATTTTCGTCCTCACATGTGTGTACGTCTGCGTCCAATTCTAATGTGGAATTAGGATACTTTCTTACTTTGCAAAAAGTATGATTACAAGAGAAGTGTTCAAGAGCAACCCTACAAACCATAAATGTTTGATGTTGATTCAACATCTTCTCTTATTTTGAACTTCAACAAGATCAAACACACAATAGATTACCAATTGACTATCTGTATCTTGCTACTCCTTTGCGTTCTTTATCTCCAAAGTTTTCGCGCACCAGCAATTACAACTATTGCAACACAAGACTTCAATTCGATTCGTCGTTCTCTCGCTACTTCCTTTGTGTTCTATATCTCCAAAAGATCATTTACATTTTTCATCTCCAAAGGGCTTCACTTGCCCGCAATCCTCTCTTGAATGTCTTGCACAAAAATTCTCAAATCAACCAATGATCTTGAAGGACAAACCCGCGATTTTTCCTGATGAAGACCCCTACAAATCTCAACTCTAAATCCTAAACCCTAAACCCTAACTAAATCTCAATCAATGATCTTCGACTACACAAGAACCTAATTGGACGTTATCAAACCTCGTCTAGATGACACCTCAACAGGAGATCATTACAATGGAATGTCAGTGTGTATGCATAGATTGGAGGTTGAAGATGAAGAACAAATGTAGGCTAATTTTATGGTATCATCAAGTTGGAATGATGTATTTATAGTTGTGGAAGTTTAGATGCCAAAAGGAGATTTTCGGAATTAAAAAGAATTGGAAAATTGAATCAATCAAACAGTATGTGTCGACCTGAAATTGTATGTGTTGACACATAAATCAAATTTTAATTGCATGTGCCGACCTGAAAAACGAATGTACAAGCTTTAAAAATACAGTACATGTGTCAACCTGAAATTCATGTGTCGACACATAAAATCAGCATTTCTGCAATTTCTTAAAAACTTCAATATGTGTCGACCTGAAATACGTATGTGTCGACACATACAATAAAAATTTATGCAGAAAATAATTTTCATGAATTTGACCAATTTCAAACTTGTTTTAAATAATTCATAATACCTCTGATGCAAAGGAGTGTCACATGACATAGAAGGGAGTGCCATATGACATAGTGATACCGTCTAATATCCAGAAATACTAAATTTTCCTAATTTTGACATCATATAAAATATCTAATAATAAAATTACACCCACAAAACAATCTTCAAACTTTCTAATAAACAACTCTCAACAAACAAGATCGAATGGTAAACAAAGGAAAATGACGTCAACGACATCAGAGACCATACCACACCAGTCTCTTTCTAGTGAGTACGTCAAAAACACTCGAGAGCCACCAGACACACGAATAGCGTCTATATCACAGCAATGAACATCAGTTCCCCCACCTCCACCAACAATCTCAATGTTTCCATCACCTTACTCATGCTACTACACTCCCCACAATCAACGAAGGAACAATATTTTTCTCCCTTACACCATGGAAACGTTCACCAGCGTGGCCATTGCCACTATCACAAATGGCACCACAAGGATTCATCACCATCATCACCTTCTAACGAAATCAGGGAGGAAGAAGACCATCTCATCAGGAACACCTTCAAGCGTAGAAAAATCAAGTATGTTGCCTATATGGAGCTCCAAAAAAAACTGAGGGATAGGTATATATCACTTGACGACAAACCCTAATGATCATGTAAAGCATGCGGTGATCTTCCTGAATTTCTGAATTTCATGTAAAGCAGAAAAGAATTGCATGTGACTTATGCCATTGCTAAATGTAGAGAAAACCTTGTCATATTGATAAATATGAAAGGAGAAAGTTTTTACTCCTAAAAAATATCCTCATCAACACAACGGTTGGAATGAAGAGATTTACAAGACACCACAGTAGACAAACCACATACACGAACAAGGTATCAATATAGAGCTTAGTAGAGACTACATAGGTTGTACCAAGGGATTTCCTCCTCAATTATGAAAGAGCTTCATGCAGTCAATGAGGTGAAAGTTTAGAGAAATGATGGTGTTGGTGGCGAAGCAAATCCCTAGGCCGAAGAAAAACAGTCAGCCGCCAATATTGTTTTATATCGAAAACCTTATCAACGAAACTCCTAGCTGGCACATTCCCCTTTTGGCGAGGGTTGTGTCAGCCCAATCGTTATATAAACTCTCTTAAGAGTACAAATGTTGGGTAAAAATCAAGAAGTAAATCGAGAAATATTTATTGCCATGAAATGTCTCGATCGAAAAGTGAATGGAAATTTTTTAGTGACTAATTTATAATCGATGACGCCTTTAAGAATAAATTGTGCTCCATAGCATTGCTTAGAGTAACATTTTTGAGAAACATTCCAAGGAAAACTAACAATTGGCAATGTAAAAACCATAAACTTGAATTACTTATATCAATAGGAGGCCGCGAGTGTGAGTGGTTCAAGAGTTGGCATGGAGGTTCCTGCTAAAAAGGATTTGAACAATGTTAGAGCAAGTTTTGGTCTATGCAGAGGAACTTCGTGCCCAGCACCCCTTACAGTTACAAAGGTGAGTCCCGTGTATTCTTGCGTCCATCCTCCTACCTGTTTGTTTCATGTATATGTCAATGTCAATGCACCGAAGAGAACGTGAAATGAAGAATAGAAAATACATCGAGTAAATATGTGTGTATATCTACCAATTGTGGACTTACCTCCCCATCATCGTACCATGCACGCCAGGGGCTCACAGTGGGAAGCTTGAGAGCATTTATGGAATAGCGAGTAGATGTTATCGGGATAATAGCATCTGTATTACCACTGATATGACATAGATGAATTGAGGAGACACAAGAAAATATCAGTTCTTTGGCGCCGGAAATTATTTAAGGAAAAGAAAATGATATATGAATGACAGTGGATGAATGAGCAACCTGAATATCCATACTCGCAGTCCAGTAGGAATAAGTTCACGATATATGTCGAGAACTGTTCTAGCAGAATCCTTCCAGTTAGTAAATACCACATCACTGCAATGAATGTTAAATCACGGTGAATAAAATACAGTGATACACTTAACGCTGTGTGTGCAGTCCTTGAAGTTGGTTATGCAATTTGTAACACAGAGTGCGGAAAGAACGACACTTTCAAAATTTCCCCTTATGAGCATTACCTGCAGGTCTGCCATTTTTCCGGCTTATGATTTGGATCAACATGTAGAATTCTTTGGACCTCGGGTTGATTGAAGTATATAGAGCTGTGCTTCTCGGTGCAAGGATCATACACACTTCTGAGTCTTCCTGCACTCTGTTACATGACAGAGCATATGAATAAAGATTTGTACTATAAAATCATAAAATTCGGTGTCGAGAATATGTATCAGTATCCAATTTTGGAGTTAATTAACTATAGTTTAGACTTACATGCTTTCTTTTAACCCGCTGATTATCATTAGTGTGGCAAGTAGCGGTAAAAATACTGTATGGGTCTATATTACCAAGTTCATCAAAGGCAATATCCCACATTTTGTCACATGACTTTGACGGGTGTTCGACTGGCTGAAAATCACATAGAAGGTTCAAGAGCTTGAATGTTCGATCCGAAATCATACCACTTGACCACATAAACTGGAACATCCCCAATTGATCATGGAAATCATCTAATAGAGCATTTCCTACCTGCAGCAGACAGAGATGAATAGTATTGATTTAGTTAATGATGCCAAAAGAACTATCTATTCCAAGCTAATGACACATGCGGAGTTTTTGCGCAATCTTGTATTGGATCTTTACTAGTTTTTGCGCAAAAATGGAATCCGTACCATGTAACCTTTGAAGTTTATAGAATCTTGTTTTGTAGCTGAGTTGTACTTGACAATAAGTTGGCTAAGTTGGGAAACATAATGTCCTGAAACAAGGAAAACAAGAATCAGAGAACTCAAACAGTTGACACGATAAGTGTCATATTTGTCACACCATTTGTGTTTACCTGCATAGCTCTCGCCACTAATGAAAAAGTCTGATTTTTTATACTGGGGAAAACGCGTAAACCACTTCAATAGGAATATGAGATTTTCATCAGCTGCACATAAAGAATTACAGAGAATTAATTTAATTTGAATCAATTGACGCACATGAAAAACCGTTGGTAAAGTATTATGATCAGCCATAAGGAGAACTTATCCAGAACAACTAGTCCATTAGGGAAAACCCCCTAGAAGCGTATGTTACGCTTCACATAAAGTGATTCTAGGACTATTAAATTTATTTTGACATCTATGATTTTTGGTTGCTCTAGAGTAGAATCGCCAAGATCAATTAATGCACAAAAATGTCTATATTTGTAGTATATCCATGGTTTTAAATTGCAGTCTGCAACCGCAATATTGTTGACCGCATCAGACCATAATTGCTGTGTGAGTTAAACCATGTGTCCGACTGCCATTACAAATCACATCACATCAGACAATTTCACTCATGATTCTTCAAGTATTTTCATCAAAACTCAAAATTTCAGAATCCAAAAACTCAATTTACTTCCTATGCAATGAAAAATCTTAACAACAAGTGTTTTTTATCGGTGTATTTCAAACACGTCCCAATTAAAACTCACGTTGCACTGGCCGTAATGTGCGTTGAAACAACCGCAATGACTGCAATTGCAACACCACACCTGCATGCAACCGCATCCGCGGCCTCAATTTAAAACCGTGTGTATATGCAGTAAATCTAGATCCAAGTAAGTGATAACTTACCTGTCCTCTTATCTCCATTGTTGAGAATATCAGATGGATTATTTGAATATGAAAATCCAGTTCCAACCGGAGAATCAATATAAAGAATATTGGCAACTACAAAAAAAAAAACAATTCAACACAGCATAGTTTATTTACAGCATAAATTCTGAGAATCAATTAAACAAACACAGTAAAACTCACCTTGATTCCAAGAATAAGGATTAAGATAAAGCGTTTTGCCATCTGTATTAATCCGAAAAGGACCAATTTCCTCAGCTTCTCCATAAGCTATAGAAGAACAGCCGGGACCACCATTGAACCATAAAAGAAGAGGCTTTGAAGTAGGATCTGGGTGATCTGCTTCAATGAACCAGTAAAACAGTGTCCTTCCAACTTCCTCATTGACAGTGATATACCCAGAATAGTGTTTGAAGGTTATGTTGAAGTTTTGACCTGGGAGTGCGCTAACAATCCTGTCTTTCTCTTGTTCCACAAATGGGTCTGTTGCAAATGCTACATTGATGTTGTTTAGGAAAAGGGGTGTTGATGTTAAGATGCAAAGGAACAAGAGTTGAGACCACTCACAATTTGTCATTTTAGATCGTAAATAGATAGTGCCCACTCACTTACATCGCCTTTATATTATTACCCTTAGAATAAAATAAAATATTTTGAAAAATTGGTTGAAATTACAATAGAAAAATTGTCACCAAAAAGTTAACCATTTAATATTTATGAAGCTATCATATTTCTAATGTCGCGATGTCTACTACGCACACGTATTCTACATTTATACGATACTCTCTAAAAAATATTATTTTTTTCTTCATTTTTGAATTAGTATCCCTCATTTGTTTGACATTTATACATACTTGATTGACAATACAAATAAAATTTTCTTCGTTTCAACCGACCTTATACATTTTATTAGACAAATCAAACATAACTAAAAGCGTTGAAACAATATCATCAATGAAGAATTAAAGAAATAAATTTTAATTATAATATTTTCTACTTTTTTAATTATAGATTAATAGATGAAAGTCAAATACTATCATATATGTAATAGAATCTGTGTCTTATATTTTTATATTATTGATATCGCAGTTGTCAGCATCGCGTCGTATCTCAGGAACTGTGTCGAAATATGTGATTCGTAATTAAGTATACTATAAAGGTAAGGCAATAATTTAACCACTGTTTATTATTTATTCAATTAGTCTTTGTATTATTGTACTTATAAAAGTATATCAATATAACTTTATTATCGAGGGTTAGTAATGTCTTTGTCGTCTATCATGTGAATTGTGTCCCTCTTTTTCTTATTTGATCATCTCTTTATATAATAGTTTTGAATCATTATATACTAAAGACCCATTAGAGAACATTTAAGATGATTTTTCTTGATTAGTTTGATCTCTTAATGATAATTAGAAATCAGAATTAATTGTTAGATCATAGGTTATAATGCTCTAAATCAACCATAAATGTGTTATCCCTCGTATCTTAATCTTGTTAGAACTTGGATTCACTTGGTTGGTAAAAATGGAGGATTTGAATGTGGAGAGAGAGAGAGAGAGAGAGAGAGAGAGAGAGAATATAATTGGGGTGAGAATATGAATTTTCATTAACAATAGATGAGGATACCTCCAACGTATTTATACAATAATTATAAGTGGATTGGAACACAAGCAACAAGTCAAATAGCTCAAAAGACTAAATTTGTGTGTCTATAATCGGTTACACAAAACCTATAACCAGCTACAGCTGCTAAAAACTCTAAAAATGCTAATAGTGGTAACTGGTTACTGTGAATGTGTAACTGGTTATACAAATGCCATAATTACTTTTTTCTCAACTTATTTCACTTTTTTCATACTTGTAATCGGTTACACACTTGTGGTAACTGGTGACATCACTTGAATTATGTATTTTCTCATAACACGCCACCTTAATGTAAGTGCTCCAAGTCTTCCATT